AAGAAGCAGCAGAAGTGCTGCGGAGGGTGCTGCGGGGGTGGGGGAATCTTGCAGAAAATGTGCCGACAGATCTCCCTGACCCCGCATCCAAACGCAGACAGACATTCATTGCCTCCCGCTCGGTTTGGCTGCACCCTGGGATTCACCTCCACCCGCCCCCTTTCCCAAGGCTGCAGCTGGGCGCGCAGTTGGGGACCCCTTCCCTGGTCCCGGCAAGATCCAGCTCCGCAACCGCAAAGCCCTTGGGAGATGGCAAAGAACTATTTGCAGTCTGGGAGCAGTTGTACCCGACGAATATCACGCCTGCGTCCTTCATTTGTCTTTTTATGGTTTGAAAAAAAAAAAAATTTCCCCTCTGTTTTGAACAGTGTTTGTGTTAGCAAAAGAATAGTGATGTGATTTCAATTAATTACTATCTACAGATTACAAAGGAGCGTTCAGTAATTATTTTAAACTGATCCAGCCCTGATCTAAAAAAAAGTAAATGAGATTTTGTTGTTGCTGTTAACTTCGGGGTTTGGTAAAATTAAACAGTTTTGAATTAACTAAGGGCCCAGCTTCTCTCTTTTTAGCGGGGTTTCAATTCCTGAAAGAGAAATCTGACAAAACTGGGCACTGGTGAATACAGCTGGGTCAGAAATGAGGCTAAAGAAAGGATACGTTCTGCCACCGAATTGTACGACTTTGCTGCTGTAGAAACTCGCATGTATCAGTTTCTCCCCAGAAAAAAAAAAAAAAAGAAAAAGAGGGAAGGTTGTAAGACAATACCTTACTTTTTCAGTATGAGATGTAAATTTCCAAATCCCACATTAATTTTGGTGAAAATTATTCAGTCCATGAATGTACCATTTGGTGTGCATCTTTTGTGAACATACAGATTTTTCCTCCCCCTCTCCCTAATCCCAGACAGCCTATGTGAGTCTCTTGAATTGCCTCGCCCTCTGAAGCACGTTGCAAAGTTTGCTGGTCCCCACAAACACACGTTTTGAGGTCTGGTTCTGATTAATTGTGTCATGTTGTTGTCGAATAGTTTGCGCCTCATGACTGTGGATGCAGACTTTTGAGCAAGGGAATGGAAAACATGTCTTGGAGGGCCGGGTCGGTACAGAGGCCCAGTCAGGCATCCTGGTCTGCAGACGCCTGTTGCGTGGCGAGGCCTCCATTTTTATACTCGTGTCTCGCTTTTGCAGACCTAATTGCTCATCCCCCTCTTCTTCTAAGGGACAGAATTGGCTTCCAGTTGGAAGACACTTTTCAAGATTTCCCAGAGGTAGTTACACCCCAACTTAGTGATCTTCTAGAATAAAATTCCTTTGATCTGCTGGATTCCCTCAGAAATGTTGGTTTTTCCCATCTCTTCTCTTCCCCCTCCTTTCTCTTTTCTTTTCTTCCTTTTGTGCGTAAAAGCCCTTTATTGACATTTAAAGGGCTTCCCAGGGTTTTGCTATCAGTTGTAGTTTGTATGTGCATATGAAAGATGACTTTGTATTATCACCAGCAGGGTCTAATTGGACAAACACAAGTGAATACATTGAGACGAATAGACTTGATGTTGTGATAGAATTTTACTGGCTTGAAGATTCGTCTTAGCATTGGTATTGTTCAGGTTCACGAACCACCCCCACGTCTTTCTGTCACTTTGGATGTGGCGACCTAACCTGCGTTTGTTATAACGATGGTCATGGACTTGAAATAATGTCTATCGTTTAGGATTTTGTCTTTTGACTAAAGCACTCACTATGCACACAAATTGGATTGACCTTTTTGGGGGGCCAAATTGAGCAATCAACTTACTAACTAATGTAATTAGCAAGCGTTTTGTTAAAAAAGTTTAATCAGGCCTAATAAGTACATAATCTACATGACAAATGATCGGCTAACAATATTTTTCTGGTTTTTACTGAAGTTATTTTAATTCCTAAAGTATCTTTAAATCTTGCCAATTATTCAGTCATCTCATAAAAGCAAAGCCAATTCAACTACGTTAAAGTTATTTATAGTTTCCTTTTGAATAGATGTTCTGATACCTTGTAGATATAGCCAGGAACATCAGATTGAAGTTCTCATAAAGTCTTAAGTGAAGTCTTAGTGATTTTTTCATCATTCTGTAAAAGAGAAAGCCAGCAAGGACAATTTAAGAGTGATTTACAATTAAAGGTCGAGCTTTTTATGAAAAGGCCCTGTAGTTAGTGGAGATATGTGAATGAATTAGTATTTGACAGGTGTTCTAAAATACTAAAGGACCCTGTGCTCAGAGAAAAGCATTAATAAATCCTCCAAACAATAACTTTATACTATCAGAGACATAGATTCCCCCCCACCGACATAATCCCATCTTATGAATTCACCAGTGCTGGCAAGCTACTCAAAGTATTTACAACTACAGCAACATAAAGCATATCTTTTTTATTCCAAAAATTACTCTTGTTTAAAATGAGGCTATTACTGTGCTGTTTTGTCTTTGCTTTTATAAAATAATGAGACATGATTTATGGGAGACCATAATGGCACCCTTCCCTAGGTTAACCCCTGTCTCCCCCCCAAAAAAAACCCCTAAACCACGAAAATATGTTGATATTATCATTTGACTGAATAGTCCTTCTACATAGGGCTGAAGTACTTATAGATGATTAAGAAATGCACATATCCTATAGGTTTTCTTTGGTCCAGCTTTCTTTTCAGTGTTGTTTCAAGACTGAGTTCTCTATGGAATAAATATGAACTTTTGTAAAGCCCAATTTTATTTTAAATGCAATTTTGGATTTCTTCTGGAAAAAAAAAAACCTCTCAAAACAATGAAAGACAAGACTATGTATAACATTACAGCCTCGACATCTCTCAGTGGAATAACTAAATACTTTTTTCCGCCCATATGTATCAGCAGTGTTCACATGCTTTTATACACATGTGCGTTTACATTCATCGTGTAAGAAGCACCCATGCATGGTGGGGGGTGTGTGTACATTCAAGGGAAAATGCATGAACAGTTTTAAGCCACCTGCGTTGCTGGGCCCTTTTTTCCTCTTCCCTTTTTTCAAAAGAGCATCTGAAGACCATATTGTGTTTCATAAATTATTGACATCAGTTTTAATCAGTGTCCCCCTGACGTCGGAGCTGTGTTAGTATTTAGTGCCTGACGAAGCATGCTGTTTTATCTTACTATGGGGATGTCAGTATGAGCCCCTGCTTGGCTGGTGACAGGTCGAGCTTATGAAAACTCGTTTTGCGACTCACTCTATGGCTTTACATTGCGCAGCTGTAACCCAAAACCCACACAAAAGACATTTCTGCAAGATGAGCACCGTGCTGGACTGGCCTCCTATGGTCATAGGTACCTGCAACATAATGCTCATAATTGCTTAAACATGGCTTTGTGGGGTTGGGATGGGGGGATTCCTTATGCTGTAAATGACTCTGGTGCTTGGGTCCTCCCTCATTCCTGGCAAGAGAGATTCTATTGGAGGTGTTGCCATGAGAAATCTAATGCCCTGCTAAAGTCCCTTGCAAAATCAGAAGGCTGAAATTGCCGGGCATGGTGACTCATGCCTGTAATTCCAGCAACTTGGGGAGGCTGAGTTGGGAGGATCGCTTGAGCCCAAGAGCTGAAGTTCAAAAGGCTAAAATCACTGCCTAGTCAAGAGCCTGGCTTATAGCTATAGATGAGTTAATGTTTTTAATAGACACAGTAATTATTATAATTATTGCCATTGTGATGATTAACCCCCAAAGGTTTATTCTTTGCCAAACACTCTTGTTAATTTAGTCATTTAATCATTGTGACGATGCTTATAATAGACGCTATTATTGTCCTTATTTTAGAGATGAGGAAACCGTGCAGTGGTTTACCCCAAACCACGTAGCCACTAGGTGGTGGAGCTGGGACTCATTCCTGATGTTTATGATTTGCTTTATTGCATCCACTGTGCTGCCTCTCCATAGAACGAGTGGATGGATGGATGGATGGATGGATGGATGGATGGACGGATGAATGAATGGCAAGTATACATCCACGTACTGGAGAAAAGCTAGAATAATCTTTTACTTCTTGCTGAAACTGGAGGTGGTTCCCTAGTTGTGTTGCATTAAATTATACTCATACTTACTTTCCTGTAAAGTTGCATATAGGGTGTTTTCCTGTATCTTCGTCAGCAGACCTGGTGGGAACTAGAAGTTGGAACTGTGAGTGAAGGGAATTTAAAGACTTTCTTAGGGGTTCTCAGCATCCACATGTGTTGCTGATGGCCAAGTCTTTCTTGGTTTCAGGGCTGGTGATCTCTCTCACAGATGGTGAAGCCCAGCTGGCTATCAGAACCCCTCTTTAAGAAGGCCTTCTCTTTTCACCCTAGTGCTCACCATCTCTTTGCTTCACAGGAACATATCAAAAAAATTCAGAAAGTGGCTAAAAGTATTTTTGCCAAAGAGGGGAAGTGGATGGGGAATGGTATGTCTTGGTCAATGGTGTTGTTGCTCCTACCGCACAAGGCTATTTTTTATCTCTACTTGCCCGTGGCAACTGGAGTGAGGGTCCCTGTTGGAGTCCTCATTAGCACCTGGTGGGCAGGAACCTCAAAGCAAGGCGGTTGCTCCCTGCTACACCCAAAGTAGGGAGGCAAATTTGTCACGGGAAACCTGGGGTGGGTCTGTGCATTTCCAGGCTCTGCCAAACTCGCTATTAGCCCTGCCCAGATTTCTCTCTGACCTCCTCCTCCTGTAGAAAAATGAGGTCCTCAGAAAAGTATTTGAGACTTTATGTCCAGAGTAAATATTGGAAAGGCTGTGGGTTGAAATTCAGATGTTCCCTGGAAGGAATCCCCTCATTTTCTGCT